AAAACCTGCAGACCACTGAACAGCAAGTCAGAAAACTGACACAAATGTGATTTTTTGGGGTTTTTGTGCATTAACTTGAGTGGCCACTTCAGACAGAAATATCAAAGTGAAACAGTAAAGAAAATGCAGCCACTGCTATGTGTTAGGAAGGGGCTTTAAATTATAACAGGATTTTTAAGCATTATTTTTTGCAGAAGACATCTCTGAGGTAAGATTTTCACTGGACTTTGCTGCATTAGTAGAGAAGTTGCACATTTTAAATCTCTAGCAGAAATCCTACAGAGCAGAAGGGGCAATGAACACCAACTCCCTCTCCCTCCAGTGCAAAAGGAGCAGATGAGAAATTTTACAAGTTGGACACATGGCCCCTTGACCTGTGTGGTACTGGATAACCCTCTGCAGTGTCAAGCAATGGATCATCTTACCTGCTGCTGCAAAACAGACTTCCTTATGTGCTTGGAGAGGACATTTCCCATGTCTGAGACAGAATTCCTGTCCTGCTTCACCTATGGAAGGAAAATCATAACAAAACAGAACCCACAAACAAACCCCACAAACAGAAAGACAGCTAAACAAATAAAACAAAACCAAAAAACAGAACAAAGAGAAACTTTATATAAAATTGAACTCAACTCCCAAAATATTTCCCAAACCAGCCTTGACAAAATATATTTGTTGTTACATCCACCCCTCCTTCAGGGTGGAAATGTGTTAGAGTCACAGATGTTAAAAATTTTAGACTTTCTATACTAACAAACTCTAACCCCCAAGAAAACACTACATTTAACCTAAAGCCATAAAAAAACTTTCCAAAAATTAATTCATAACACTAAAACTATAAGCATATAATTTAATTAAAAATGTATAATATCATGTAGTAAAAAACTTCAAGTTTAAAATTTTAGAATAGAGTAATATATATATATGTATAAAACAAAATAAAATTTTTAAAACAGAAACAGAGCTCTGGAAAATGCAGCAGAACTGAGAGGCCCTGATGGAAAGGAGAGTTTCTGGACACTGAGAAAAGCATTGCAGCAGATTGGTGCTGTATTTTATTTGTTTCTGATAGATTTAGTTGGTCAGTGCTCTTCCTCCTTCCACACAACACATGCACACTGATCTATAGCACACACATATGGTCACCAGCATAGAGGCAGCAAATGCCAGATCAGATAGAGAAAGGGTGAATTTAAGAGATTATAAATGTCTTTTCATAATAGTATATATTCAATACTGTCATAAAGTAAGAGTGTCCAAAGACAATATGAACGCTTTTCTCCTCTTGTATATGACCATAAGAAAATAATTTCAGTTCAACTTAGTAATGGCTTTGCTGCATTGTTAAAAGGTGATTAAAAAGACAAAACAATTTTCATTTTGAATCTCTAAGGAGAGCCATTGCCCTCGTGAATATCAGTCAGAAAGGTTCTTTCCTGCCATGAGGTCATGAAAAGGTGAAACCTTTTCAGTGGGAAGGGGGACAGGGATGTTTTTGGTGCAGCACATCCTGGCTGTCACGCAGAGGGGGAGATGGAGGCCTTGTGAAATCAGTTCTGTGTCACCTCCACAGCTGTGTCCAGCCCCCTCGTTGTGGTTTCAAACACAAGTCCAGCTTTATGTATCTGCAAAAACCCTCTCACAGAAGCACTTTCTTCAAAGAGATGCTGAGATTTGTTTTATCAGATAGAGCTGCAACCCTGTCTAACGCGACACATGAAGAAAGAGGAAACTTCCCTAAAAACATTCCAAGCTCCTCTTTGTGCCACCCACACGTGCAGTCATGACTGAAGGACAGAGCTGCGTGTGGCTCTCACGCACTCCAGGGCTGGAGCCTGGGGAGGAATCACCCCAGCAGCTCCTGCCAGGCTGCCCAAGGCAGAGCAGGATTTCCCCAGGGCCTCCCTTCCCTCCCCAGCACAGAGCTCAGCACTCCCTGGGTGCTCAGCACAATAAAAACCTGGCCACAAGATTTAAAATCAAAGGCACTGAGTTACAAACCCTGCTGAAAAATCTGGCACTTTGCTGAAGCGTCGAAATACTTCTGGTCAAAATATGGCCATAATCACTAAAATATACAATTGCTTTTCATAATCAGCAGTATTTACTCACATAAATAATTTTATTGACCCTGGTCACAGGAAATGCTAATTTTGTGTGACACTGGGAAGGACTTCTAAGTCTTAGGAGGCAACCATGGCATAAATATTGCAAAGACAGAGCTATCTAAGACTGCATCACTACAGCTTCAGTGCATGCAAACCAAAGTCAGTGCTAGTTCTGCAAATGCTTCTGCATCACCTCATCAGTGTGTGGGAGCAAGAGGTAGACTTGTATCCCTTGGAAAATATGGAGAAGCAAAGAGATGGTAGAGAAAAAGAGGAAGATTTTATTTTAGATGATTTTTAAGGTCCTTTCCAACCCAAAACTTTCCCTGTTAGGAACGTATTTGTGGAGCAGAAAACAGTGACACGGTGCCTGAGAAAGGATAAACAAATTATTGCTCTATGAGTTTTGCTTTTGTTCAGCCTCAAAGAAAGAGCCACCCAGTTGAGACACTCAATATTTGAGTTTTAAAGGGAATTCTCTGGCATGATGGACCCTCATTAAGGGATCGCTCTGTAATTAATCAGCTAATGGGCCATGAGCTGATGGCAGATGTACTTCAAGTCAAACCTCTGCTCTAGCATATTTGTAAAGCTTTTTCAAACAGGGTCCTGGATCAGACCAGACATAGCAATCTTACAGTATTTTCTTTAAGTATTGCCCAGCCTTGGAAATACAGCTGAGCGTCTTGGATTCTTCTCATAAAGTGAAAAGGGCCATGTGTCTTGTAAAGACAAGCCCCAAGGGAACTGAGGTAAAGTATTTTTGTAGCCTTAGCACAAATTTTCCTTGTGTTTATGACTTCATTATTTTAGTGGGTGTGTTATTTCAGTGGGTTTTTCAGCTACTTATTTTCTATCTTCTTTATGGTTCTCTATTTTTTTTTTTTTTTTCCCTGTCTACTTTAAATAAGGAAAATGGACTCAACAGATGATGCAGAGGTCTTTATAGCAGAGCTACTGGTTTTCATTTCTGTTTCCTGAACCTCAAGGAATCATGTGCTTAAGATGCCCAAAGAATATTTTTGTAACATAATATTAAAGTTACTGCTGGTGTCTGGTCAGTGTAAGAGCTCCCCATATGAGCAGAGGTGAAAATTTTAGGCATCTATCTTCTGTTAAGTGTAGTGAAAGAGTTAAGACAAAATGAATTAAGTGAACACAACCGACAAGAGAAAAATTGTTTCTGATTAGCAGGAAAACCCAGGATTAGGATGTGGTTACTCTGTAATTGCAAAATCTGATCTTCAGTAATATCTGGCAGGATTTTAGAGAAAAAAGAAGTGAAAGGACTGAAAACTAATACTAAGCTCATTTAAGGTGAATTAATCCAAAATACTGGTCTCCATACCTATGGTTGGCCCCTACACTGGGAGAGCCCTACCTCTGCAAAAAGCTGCTGGGGTTGGTAGGACAGATGTGTGTAGCACATCTGTCTGGCCTGGGCAGAGGGGTTTTCACAAAAGTGCCCTTTTTTCTAGGTGCAGCTTCAGCCAAAATGCACAGAGACAGCAGCCACTGATCAAGCAGAGCTGGACCAATGACCCATCCAAATTGTTGGGTTATTAATTATCACTTCTGCTTTACCTGATGTCAGCTCACCTGCCATATCTGCTTTACTGGTAGCTTGGTTACCTAATTAACAGTAATTTGCATTTTAACTGAGCCTGTAAGTTCCCTGTAAAGTCTGTGCTTGGGGACGCCAGTGATCACCAAGTTGCTGGTCAATGTTCTGATAAGAAGTAATGCTTGAGTAAATCCTACAAGCCATCACCCTAAGGCAAAGTAATCTCATGGTAGGGATGGCTGAGTAAAATAATAATAGAAAGCATGGAGCTTTTCTAAAACCTAGAGCCAAATCTTTTACAAGACATGAAGTTCTCGTTTTTCTTGTCCTTTTTTTTTTTTTTTTCTGTTTTAATTTGTTATAGACTTTTTGTTGTGTGTCAGGAAAAAAAAAAAAAAAAAAAAAACACAAAAAACCAAAATATCAAGACAAAAAGTCTGTTCTTGGATTTATGACATGAGAAACTCCAGAAAGGAAAGGAGACCTCATGAGAAAGCCTGTTTTCACTACATTTTTACATGACTTTCAAAGTGTATGCAATAGCCAAAAAAAAAAAAAAGTACAGAAGCTAAAAATCAATAAAACATGAGGAGTTTCTTCCCCTACCAAATCAAAAGAGGGGATACCATGCATTAGAACCTGGCAGAGTCCTGACCTTCCAGCCCATGACATGCAGTCTGCACCTTCAGCAAGAGCCTGTGGACATTGAGTTGCCCAGTGCTCAGCTCTTCCAGCTGGAGGTATCTCAAACACTCTCTTAATTTCATTCAAATATATTCAAAATATGGTGGAGAGGTAAAAGAACCTACTACAGGCATAGGAATTGTTCAAAGCAACAGGCAGAAGTGATTTCAAATGAGAGCAGATAAGTAAGCTGCTGTAGTTTATGTTTTCCTGTTTAAAAAAAAAATTTCAAGAAAAAGAGAAGAAAAAGAGAAATGTAATGGATTTAATATATAAAAGAGTTTGGTAGGAAACACAAATGCATGACTGACTCAACACAGACGAGAGTGAGGAATATGCCTTATGGATTTTCTTAAGGGGAAACCAAAAAATGCACTTCCCCACTCAAAAAAATGCAACATAATTAAATTTCACACAGACAGGACTGGACCTAACATCAACCAAATAAAGGTGCACAGAACAGGTCATTAAAATTAAATAAGAACATAAAGTCTATCACTCACTCTCTTCTGTAGCTTTATTTCTCCTTTTGTTTCCTTCTGGTTTTGGAGTTTCAGAGAACATTTAAATTTACAATTCTCCTCTTATACACAGGACTATCCACTGCACTCTACCTATGTCACATTTCTGCTGGAGGACCTCAGCCTTCATGAAATAACCCAATTCTTCTTGCAGGCCCTTTTGATTAGGCAGTCCTTGTTAAGTGAGATCCAACCAGTGGAAAAAAGAAAAAAGAAGAATACATAAAAAGACACTAAAAAATGGTCATAAAAAAAAATCAAAACAGCAGCTAAAGGTGCCTACTCTGCAAATGCTGTGGTTAGAAAATTTGAATCTCATGGAAACCAGCCTTGGGTTTGGGCAGGAGAGCTCAAGTCTGGCTATAAATTATTTCTGCTGATGGTCAGGATCTGGCCATTGAGCTGGACAGAGTTTCTCATCCCTTCCCTCACCAAGAGATTTTCTGAGCCTCTTGTCATACATGGTGTATTGCTCAGGGACCTACTGCAATAGCATCTTGTGGGGCAGCAGCCCCATAAAAGTGAATATTGGTGCCCTCTTCACACATTAATCTGATTTTCCTAGAAAAGCACCAATGAGGGAAGTTGCTGCTCACTGTGCTCTAACAATCTATCCAAGGGTTAAAATATTGATCCTTACCTACAATATAATGTAGCTTGACATGTTTCATCAAGCATGTCCTTCTCACTCCAGCTCCAGAGCACTTCTCTGAAAAGTAAAAACAGTAAAAAAAAAAATACCCTAAGATTTCTACTAACATGTAAAATATATTTAAATAAACAAAAATAGCAGAGAGAAAAAAAATTATCATAGCACAATAGATAATTTAACACCAAACTTTAAACAAATAGTGCCATTTGCTTTTGAGGCAGCAAAAAGAGTTTATTATTTCACTATTTCATCTCACCTTGTGCCATTAAAATATAGGACACAAGTAGTAAAACACAAAGTAAATATGTACATATCTTTACACCATGTAGGGCAGCTATAAATCTTACTCTTTGATAACAGCTGTACTATAGCAATCATTTGAGTAGTGCAGCTGCCACAACAATATCAAATTTTATAGTTAAAAGGCAGTCAAAACTTTAATGGTACAGTGGAGGTAGATATATATTGTGCTATAAATAAACATTATCTAATGAAGAAATGAAACATGTTTATTTTTCCTTGACATATCATTCAAAATCATATATCTTTGCTGCTGCAAGCTGCTATAATAGCAGCCATTATACTTCAGCATGTATAACAACCAGGTCTGTAGTTGGGCTAATTACACTGGATTTAAATGAGGGATGGGAGAACTTCAGACAGCGTGGCCTTGCAAGCAAGGCTTTCATTTCAGCAGAGCAGTATCTTAAAATGTTATCAGAGCTAGCATGTGCTGGCAGAGGTTCTGAAGGGGCTGGGAATGCAGTGAGAAACGAGTGGGTTTTCCCCTCAGACGATGACTTCTGCTGCGCTGGTGTGACAGGGTGTAATCGATCTGGGGAGCAGGGGACCATGAGAACTGATGTGCTGGTTCAGTCACTGCCACATTACTCAAATATGAAAAACCTCTGAAAGGATTCAAGAAAGCACGTGTTTAGTGCAGGCAGGCTCATCTCCTTCCCGAGGTAATAATGTGACTAAAACGTGGTTTCCGTGAATTTACTGGGGTTTCTGCAGTGCTCACATTCAGCCTAGGGATGCACTGATGGCAGCTATGGAGATATTCATCTGTCTCCTGCACAAAGACTGAGTGAAGGCATGGGAATGATTTTAAACAAGCTAGAAACATCTAATATTGAAGAGTTTTGAGAACACCGCTCATTGTGCTATGTAAGGGAAGGCCACAAAACATTGCCTAATGTTCAGGTGTGTGTTTGCGCAGGAATTTTCTCATGAGTCAAGAGTGAACTTCTGAAAGACATCTCCCAGTCCCTGCTGCACATCTCACTGCAAAGATGTGTCTGGAAACCACTTGCTGGAATGACATAAAATTCCCACCAAGGGCAAACCCAAAGCTGTCCATCAGTGCCAGGGAATCAGTCTATGGGACACACTCAGTCCAAGGCTAGCCCCAAAAAAACAAATGTGGTTGATTTGAGGCCCTCAGCATCAGCTCCATCTCCACCGCTCACTAGGATCATTAAGGTTGGGAAAGGCCTCCAAGGTCATTGAGTCCAACCATGAACCCAGCTCTGCAGGTGCACCACAAACAAAGATGTTGCCTCAGACTACCAAATAAAAGACCAAAGCCTACAACTACAGCATGTCACAAGACAAGAAAGAAAGCTAGGGGTGACAAAAAAAATATATCTTGGGTTCCTGCAGCACCAGGGAAACTGGAAAGTAAAATTCACAAGTTCCATTCCCTTAAAAATCCTCCTTAGGAAGCTCTGATTCCCTTCTTCACATCATAAAATTCTCCCTGCCAGAAGGGAGATTACCATCTTGCCTGGAGTTTGCCTCCTGTTCAGTTTGGATTTCTCTGAAGGTGACACATGGACACCCTGGTGGGAATTGCTGCGACCCGGGGGAGCAGATCCATTGGAGAGAAAATCCCTGACAAACAGCTTATTACAGTTAAACTTTGTGCATGCCCACCATTGGAGATCCTCAGGGTGCTTTTGCTTGCCATCAGCAGAGCATTTATCCAAAAAACCCCATGAGATGCTATAAAATAAACCCAACAGCTGTTAGCCGAAGATGACAAATCCTAGACACCTTTTTGTCACTTTGCAACCTATACAATTTAGTCCATGTTTACAAACAAATTGCTGCAGAAAAATATTAAGTCCTGGCATTTAGAGAAGCTCTAGAAATTACTCACTCCCCTGGAATTCTGCATGACAAATTAAGACTACTCTTCTACTCCTAATAAATGTAGCTAGAGCAAAGTTTCATAAACATTCTTGAGATTTCTTCTGTAACAGCTTTATTTTGGCTCCCCACTTTTCCTGCTTAAACAAATGGTAAGGTTGGCTGATATTGTCAAAATACAGCACTTCTCATGAACCAGGAGTCATTTATTAATGTAATTTATTGAGCTGGCATTGTAAAACATAAAATCATATTTTTACTGTGGGACTCACACACACTAAACAAACAAACAAAAAACAGCAAAGAAACCCCTCATTACCCCCAAGCTAAGAATATTTTCTTTTAAAAGTCAAATTATTGCAACTGTGGATCTGTAAGTAAGATTATGTGCTTCCAGAAACTGGCCTTTCAGAGGCCAACAGGGTAAGTGTTAATGAACCGTGCAATGTTGGGTAAGAACAGAACAGATGTTTGCACAGCCATCAGGTAGACCTTTGTTTATATAAATGCACCACAGTAGATAATACCTAATACCTTTCTCATGGCTTAAAATAACCTTCCCACTAAAAATACAAACAGGCTTTTCCCCAGTTGTGAACATGCTTAAAATCTAATTAATACACAGCCGGCTGCAAACCCACCAAACTGCTCAGGCAGGGTCGGACCTGTCACCCAGCATCACCTCTTTCATGACACAGTCTTAATCTCCTCCTTTGTCCTTATATTGCAGTTTTTGCTCTAAAGGTTTCTGCACTAAAAAAAGTGGGGAGGTGAAGCCATAGTTCAATTCAATTTATTTTTATATTGCCTCTCATACAAAGTCTTTCAAAACTCTTTATAGTGAGAGATAAAATAATCATATAACGCTTGTCGGAATTCAGCGCTGTGTCTTTTACACTCAGGGTAAAAGCTACGTACCAGGAAAGTAAAATCAAGAATATTTAGAAACAAAGAGAAGATTAATAAATACATATTGTTCCAGCACTGTGGGAGAAGATGGAAGCACATCCCTGTCCTGGTGCATTTGTAGCCCATCCTTTAGTTTGGAAGGTCCCAACATAAAGGCATTGTTGGAGAGGGTGAGAAGGGCGTCACTCAAAGGAGACCCTTCCAGATGTGCTGGGCACAGAAACATCAGTCAGTTGTTTTCCTTCATATGGAAAACCCAGCTTCTATTCAGAAAACAAGAAAACTTCAGCTTATCCTGAGAAAGGAATGGAAAAATGCACCAAGTCACCCACACTCATCATCTGACAAACAACGCAGGAGTATCCCCACATCCAGAGAGGGAAAGATTTTTGCAAAATACGACGAGAAAAAGCAAAAAGTATCTATGACAACACCATTATTACAATTAATTTAAACTATTTATAAACACTCATTGTTCAAGAATATTACCCTATAATAAGTAATGCAATAATTCATAAGGATAACCCTGGAACCAGGTACACACCACACCCTTTCAGAACGACACAATCAGGAGTCATTGAGTGGACTGTTTTTCCTGCTATACCTATCAGATCTAGGAAATAAGCACCAAAAAACTGCCTCTTGGTCTCCCAAAGTAACTCTACCCCATATCTTAACAAAACCTGAATATCAGGATGCTGATATTCACCCAGTTTAACCCAGTATAACCTCAAGCAGCACAGGAGAAAAATGCGCCTGAAAACAGACTGATAATTAAAGAAAGCGTGTTATAAATTCTGTGATACAGTCTTAAATTGTCATTGTAAAAGTTTACTACATCTTTGAGGTCCATCGATTCAGAAGCCCACACATAAAGAATCCTGGTAAAAGAGCATCTAAGAAAAATATTTGGGCAACAGCTAATATTTCTTCCCACCTGTCTTCATGCCCACACCATTCAACACAAGCCACATCTTTATAACACACAGTAAGAAAACACAATATATAGTAACTCATTTTCTGACCTTTTAATATTTCTGCCATTGATTGTCAGAAGTGAGGGCGGCTCTCTATCCTAAGGTGATGGATTATTTAATTAACTATTGACCTTTTCAGTATCAGATGTTGACAATGAATGTGCTCCTGTGTAAGCTGCCTCCTCTGGATGCTGCTCAGTTCTCCAACGCACGTGGACTTGTCTCACATTTTGCTTTTAAGCATAACGTTTCTATTATTTCAATCTAAAAACAAGTCAAAGTCTTTTATTTAATGATGAATACTTTTATGATCTATTGCTTTGAGTTTTCTTTTGAACTGTGCTTCCAGTGGAATTTATGTGCATATTAACAGAATTGTGTCGTTCATAGATAAAAAAATTTCTACTGCTTACCTATGACTTGGGTTTCCTGGCATGTTTTCAGGACAACTTCTGCACCATGAGGCAAAGAATCCAACCCAGAAAGGAGAAATTGTTCATCATCTGTGCACACGGGTCAAGAGACGTCCCAGACTGAAAATTGTAGCAAACATTTGATATTAGGCTTTGCCTTTGGGCCCAGCAAAGACTCCAGCCAGGAACATGACATTTACACCGAGCACCTTTAAAAAGAAAGAATTTCACTACTTTCCCACAAGACATGCAATGTGAAGCTTTGTTTACACACAGGAAAACTGACTTAAGGCTTTTTCTCCCCCAAAATAAAAGATCCAGATCCTCATCCTGGAGACCTGGGATCTCAGTGCTCTGTTCTCAGCAATTATGTATTCAGCTACAATCTTTTTATAAGCAAACAAGGTATTTTCCTCCATGAGCTTGTTGTTGCAACCAAACACTGAACAAATGATCCGTGCCTCCAGGTTGTCAGAGAGATTTACATGTGACTACACAGCGGTTTGGGTATTCCACTGTGATTTCTCTCCAGGACTGAGAGAGATGATTAATCCAACATATTCCTGGTAAAAACCATCCAGCATTTCTCCAGGAAAAAAGTTCCTAGCCTGGAACACCTTTGTAATAAATACTCTCTTCTGATTTCATCTGTTCACATAGAAAATACATATTTGCCAAACCAGCCAGGCACCAGAGGCCTGGTGGGGGCCTGCTTTTTTGCCTTTTTTTTTTTGCAATAATATTTTTTCAAGGTGTTCTATTTTCTTAATTATTTTGGTAACTATAAAACCACTTCAACGGAATAATTCCACGATGTATCCCTGCACCAGCAAATAACAACACATTTCTAGAAGGTCTGTTTACAACAAATAACGTTCTTGTCATTTTACTTATTTTTTTAATCATATTTTTGTCTGTGAAATCAGCCGCACACACATCAGTAAATATTTCTGTGGCTGATGGATTTGGTAAGTGGTTTTAATCAGGAGCTTTCCTTTTGCATCAATCAGCCTTCCCTGCAGCCCAGGAGAAACCCCTACATATGTCATCGATACACACAGATAGCAGAGCTATAAGTCTGATTTTTTGTGATGTTAATACAATATTATGATGGATATCTATTAGTGGGGCGAGCAGAGCAGCAGACAGACTCCAGCTCCTCTGACAGCGGCTGCTCTTTCTTTGTCAGTGTCAATCCGCGCCGGAATCGCGGGGAATGAGCGAATGTGACAGGAGAGGACCGCTCCAATTATGGATGAAGGGATACTATCTACTCCCACTGGTTGATGTGATTTATTCGACGGTCCTTCTGCATTTATAGAGCAGCAGATTGTAGCTGCTTATGAAGTGACAAATAGTGCTCAATGACATTGACTGACTTGTCTGATCAATTTAGCTCGTCTGAAAAGTAGCCGCGAATCGCTGTCCTCGGTGAATGACGGCACCAACGGTCCCGGCTCAACTTCACCGACCTGAAATCCCAAATGCCGTTAGGAAAACTATTAAAGAGGACTCCTTTTAATCAAGTAGCATGACAGTTCCATACAAAGGATGAAAAATAGAAACCTCTCCTACAGCTTTGCTTTGAAACTCACCTCACTTAAAGAATGTTTTGCCTTTGAGACCATGTCAGGAGAACATTTTTATTATTTTATAAGTTCCTGAATATTTGATATATTTTGGTGGAGGAGTAATGTATCTGATAGAGGGGAAACAAGTGAAGTTTTCTTGCAAGAACCAACAAAGTAAATTCTCATGTTTTCTAGAAAAGTTGCCAACTGTTTCAATTTTATTGAGCCTTAAGTCATTAGACTAATTTTAAAATTCAGAGCTCCTGAAATCTGGTGATGATGTAATCCAACTTTTATATTAAAATCAAGAAGAAAAAGAAAAAACTAAATTCCTGGTCTTGTGGCCAGAAAGCAACTTAAAAATGTGGGTTTTGTGAATGCAGTACAACCAAAACCCAAAATAAAATTGGAAGCCAACTTACAAATGCTGAAGGGTGTTTGTGGATTCTGAGAAGTAACCTTAGGACTACTGGAGCCTGGCAGGACTTTTTCACACTTGGGTTTGACGGCACAGGAATTTCTTAGAAGTCTGGCTCATTTTGGTAGAGCTGTTGCGTTAATTCCCTAATATTGAAAACTGTCAAACTCTTAGTGGCTGGAAGCCCTCCTGGCAGAGAGAGTTGTTAAATGGGAAGAGGTGGCAGAGCCAGGCTCTTGGGTGCCATGGAATTCCCACAGCTTTCCTGAGCCTCACTACAGCCCTTCTAGTAATGCTTGAATTACATGATAAGGTAATTTGGCATTTGCAAAGGCCTCAAAACAATTCCTTTAAACAAACACAGAATTAAAAACCATTGAGAAAGCATTAGCAATTGCATTTTATCTAGCATAAGATTAGTATTTTTATAAAGTCATAATGTCACATCACACCTTATAAATAATGCTTATGATATTTCTTATATGAAGCAGGCACAGGAGTTGCCTGCAAATGGTAATTCCGTGTATAAATATATACAAACTTGTGAGGGAGTCTACACACACATATCAATATATATATGGCCATAGCACAAATAAATCAATGTCTGCATGTGGGGGGTGCCTGTGGGCCGTTCATTATATATTACAATATTAAACTGTTATCCATGCACAAGTATATTTATGTATATATTTCAATTTATTAGAGCTAGGCAGGCCTTTACAGACTTAATAAAGAGCACCAGCATTATAAGCCAAGAACCATTTTTCCCTTTCCCTGTATTATTCAAATTTATTAAACAATATTTCACATTTGTTTGACACAATGTCAAACTCGGGACTCCTAAAGAACTGCTGCAGCTTTGGAACTGTTATGCTTTCTTGGACTTTAATCATTTTTGGCAAGGCTCCATTTCCTGTCAGAAAGTGAAACAGCTTAGGAATGTCATTTTCACGAAAGAAAACAGAGAGAATCCGAGAGGAAGTTCTCCTCCACTCCAGAGCCCCTAAGATACTCAAACACACTCGCAGGAGGGCTGGAATACATCAAACATTAGCAGAGGGAAAAGGACACACTTTTCCCACATTAAAATACATGGATAAAGTTGAACTTTTGCTAAAAATAGTTCCCATGACTAATCCTATTAAGTTTTTAAAAAATTGGGCTGTATCTCCCTTGAAGTCAAATTGTTTTTTAACTTTAGAATGACATTAGAAAAAGACTCTAAAGTGCCTTTGCTTAAGTCAAAGTCCCTGGAAGATTATTTTTTCTTTTCTGCTTTTTTTTTAAGTGAGATATGAAAAATGAGGACAGGAGCATGGATCACACTTCTAAAAGGGCAATTTACCTATTGAAGAGGTGAGGAGGATCAGTCTCTCCCAGATCATCGCTGGTGATTTACTGTGTAAAAGAGGCTCCCTACAGAGGGAAGAGGTTCAAGGGAGCAGACACAGACTGACCCTTCCCTGAGCCAGCTCAGTGCTTGCAGGAGCTGAGCACTGAGGCAGCCATAGAGGAAGCCCTGTAACAGTTTTGGGCAAGAATCACCTTTTTTCTTCGGTCAGAAGGCTGGTTATGTAAAAACCACCTTGGCTTCTTGTTGTGACGGGGAAACAAGTAATGGCCAGATGGATTTTGAGAACACATCCCACACCCCAGTAGGAAAAACACTGCACCAGGAAAGTTAGCAGTTCCCACTGCATTGTGGCCACGTTGGCAGTAAATAGAACTAAGGACTTCTGACAACCACCAGATCCCTGCACAATTTATGAATCCTATTTGGACCTCATCTGATGCTTTTCTAGCAGACCAAACACTTCCCAAAGTTTATGGCATCCTTGTTTGTCCTAACATCCCAGACAGAAATCCCAAGCTGTGGTAATACCACGGTTGTTTCAGTGGGAAAGCAGAAGGAAGCTGGCTGCAGAGGAGGGTGAGAATCCATTCCTAAAGGAAAAGTCATTTGCAACAGGACGCCGAGATAAAAAGGATGTTTATCTTATTCAAGGAATTTGACCTAAATCCAAACAACACTCATACAAAACTAGGAAAGGCAGGTAGCTTTATCTATCACATTTCCCCTAGAATTGGGTTAAACACCAGGCTGTGGGAATTAAGGAGCCTTACAAATGTCTTAGCCCTGATTTTGTTGCAATATGTGTTTAAACCTGTGTGTCACAAACCCCAGTGGGGCACAGGCTGCCCCGGAGGCCAGATCAGTGAGGCCAAGCTGGGAGGACATTCCAGAACTGTGATCCACAGGATCCAAACACAGAAAGAGAGCACCCAGGTGGCAAAAGCTGAGCAGAGTGTGACATGGTCAAGGAAAAGACAAAATCCTAAAGGGACAAAATATGATCTATACCTTTGAAAATTGTGCATACTTCTAGCTCAGTCACAAAAAAAAGATCAGGAATTTGTATTAATGAAATTAGAAGGATGTTGGAGAAGGAACAGTAAAATGAAAATAAATTAATCACTCCCTTAGCAATAAATTTGCCCTTTCTGCAGTTTGCTGGGGGTTTCTTCCTATGGATAGGTGAGCACAGAGCACAAGGGGAAGAGGAATGGAGGGGTCGCAGGAGTTGTCTGCTTCCATAAGCCTTCACATCTCCTTGTTTGAATTCATTCTCCATCTACATTCACTTCAGCACTGAACAAGGAACAGACAGAACAGCATAAACCTCACTCAGGTTTGTACATGTAGGGGCACACAGGCATTCCCTTCAGGAAGGGAAAGAGCAGAGCAGGTTGTGGTGGGAAAACCACCCCCCTTTGCATTACTTTTTTTCTCCATCTCTCGGGCAGCTGGGTCAGGTACAATGGGGTGGTCCCAGCATGTCCCCCACACACCAGGGGACTGTAAAAACTCTCAGCATCAGCCTACATCTGCTTGCCTTGAAGTCGTGCCCCCCACCCACACTTCCATAGCAGCTGAGTGAGGTCAATCCCCACACACTTGTGAACACGTCGCTCATTCCCACCCCCCTGAAGCCTCTCTAGCAGCATTGTTTTCTTTTCTGCCCCCAGCTGAGCTTTCATGGTGCTCTCTGATGTTCCTGCAAGGAATAACTCATTCCCCCAGCCCAAAACTGTGCAATAGGTACCTTTGCAATTTTCCTATAGCACCACTG